ATAGATAGATAGATAGATAGATAGATAGATAGATAGATAGATAGATACTTTATTGATCCCCCATCAAGATGATCCCACAGTGCTTCAGTCATTTTCAGAAGGATTCATCCCTCCGTCTGCCCTTCTGATTTTTATCCCGCTTCTTGTGCCATTTTTCATACCACAACCTTTCCTCTCTGTTTTCTTTCATTTAGAATGGCCTCTTGTCTGATGTGGACCAGCTGAAGGTGCCTTCCTCAGGTCATCGGTCAGGTATTTCTTTCTGTTTCTTAAAAACGTCGCCTTCAGATTCTGCTCATTTTAGGCCGGACACTAATTCTGTCGTCGTCAACGTACTCCGTTTTTGCTGTGTTTTTGTGAGATGACATATTGCTCACCACGCTGAGACAGGCCAAGTTTTCGGCTAATAGCTGGCGAAAAAAAATAAAACATGTCATGCCTGTCAATTTGTGTTATGCCTGCCATTTATTTAGCTTTGTACAACTGAAATGGGAACAAATGAAAGAGTCTTTGTGACAGGCTGATGTAAAAAGTGCTGCAGCACGTCATTTCAAATGGGTCCTTTGCTAAGTTGTCTGCTCTGTCTAGACATAGTGCTTCAGATTTATCAAGGCTTGAATGACTCACTGGTCAAAGGTAATTATTTATTTTCAAATTATCATCTCTGAAAATGGTCGGGTTCAAGGACTGTAAGCTGACATGGCGGAGACAAAACTTCTCTAAACCAGACCTTCAGCTCAGAGAACTATTGTTGGAGACCACTTGAAGGAAAATATACAGAAGCGAGCAAAGAATACTGTCTCCACACCATTAAGTCTGATCCCATCTTTAGGAGGTTTCAGAGCTCCACGGCCTGACCCCCCCACGCAAAAGCAACTCGAAAACGGGTCTAAAAGATCTTTGACTCCAAATCTCGTACATGAACATCATCAGATTTCAAAGGATTCCCGCCTATTCCAACCGGGCTCAGCCTTTTCTCACACGGGGGGACTTTTATTTAAGACACTGTTCAATGGGTTCCCTCATCACCCCCCCCCCAAAAAAATAAAACAAAAAATTATAAAGAGACGGGGAGAGAGAGAAAGAAGTCCTCTCACGTGATCCCCGTGTCAATCGGGCCCGTCTGCACGCGAGTTCAACAAAAGCCGAATTAGGGAAAGTCTCTGAAATCCTGCCATTCTTCCTCAGACCGATTAGCATTTTCTTTAACATATATAAATATGTCTTTAGCGAACTCACCCCCTATCCCTTCCCTCCGTCAGCCCTCCCCCCCCCCCTCTTTTCTTTCTCTTTGTGGCTCCATTTGCTGAAGTGATCTCGGGGTATTTGGGGTGTGAGGACGGTCGCCCGATCCGTGGCCCTTGTAGGAGCTTAACTCATTCAGATGGAAATGTTCGGATTTGGGGGGCTTTTGTGCAGCCGATCAGAAGGAGGGGGAGGGAAGGAAGGGGGGAGAGAAAGGGACTCAAATGTGTGAATGTGGGAAGAGGGGGTGTCTAAGATAATCGATCGGAGTGCTGACCCTCTCAACACCCCGCCCCCCCTCCCTTCTCTGTCTCTTTCTTACTCACGCGGCCATCCTTTGCTTGACTCGCGTGCCTTCACAAGCACACAGTTCTAATTGGTTTCCAGCACTAATTATCCAATTACCAGCTCTCCAGCGGAGAGCGGCACTCCAGGCCGGAGCGCCCGGATAATGGCCTCACCCTTCACTCTGCGGAGGGCAGGCATCAGGGCCTCCGAATCCAGGGTGGCACTTCACCGACAGAGGAACGGACGAGGCCATTCAGCCCGCGTTATTCCACCAACTCTCATCGAAATTGAATCCATGATAAAGTGGTTTGCAGGTTAATTTGCTCCCTTTTGTGTGGCACTTAGCAAGTGGAGGTTGTTTTCCAGACACATACCCAGTTTCTCTTTTTGTCTGCACACAAAAACGTTGCATTTTTAAGCCCCTCCTTTGTTTTCCCTGTTTTTATATGAAATCTGCTTGTGCTTTCCTTTGTTTGATGGTCATGGACAGGACTTGAGAAACCCTAATGTCCAATTTCCCAGTCCAGTCCTTGTATCTGGACATTTTAGGGGCACTTAGATGGGATCAATTCAAGCATTAAAAGGTCTTCAGTGGGGGAGGAAGGCACCTTACACAGGCATGTTATTTGTTTCCTTTAGTTTTATTCATAGTAAAAGGCCAAAGAGAAGACACTTGGGTAGACATGAAATAGTAATGTTGGAGCAAATGATTCCCTAAGCGTTTTTAGCTGAGGAATGCTTGCTCAAGCCTCATCAGAGACGGGGCTAACAAAAAACATTTAGAAGAAACTGGAAATGGGGAGGAAAAGCTGAGGTTTGCCAAATGACTCAAAACCTGAACCGAATATCAGTTGCAACAGGTGCTATGGAGAGTTGAATATCTCCAGAGCCCAGACATCATCATTACTAAAAGAAGAGCCAAAGAAGAGCTCTACTTTAAACTTTTCCTGATAATATGAAGTCTGGACTTAGTAGTTATAAAGTATCTGTTGGGCTTCTTGAAGTTGACCTTTAGATCCAATTAGATGATCGAATATTATCGACAACCTTAATGTATTGTACAAGAACAGAATAACCAACTTTGTGTCTGTTATATCGCACGCGCAGCTGCTCGCTTTTAGAATGATGGAAACGGCCAGCATTGTGCACGCGCGGCGCCGTAAACTGCAATGAGCCTGATCTGAGAGCAGCAGCAGGCCCGGGCTGGCAT